ATCCTAAGCTTCTGTTCATCCCTTAGGGAAGTATGAAAAGCTCGCCAGTGTGACTTTAATTTTCAGATGCACCTCCAGCCATGGTTCTGATGGATTCTCATCTTATGCACTGACTCCCTCTACGTCCAGTTGTGTCTGACTGCCTACTCTGTTTCTACATAACCTGGCTGTCTGGAATGTTCCCCCACTCTAAAGAGGTTTCCCTAACCACAGTTAGAGAAGGGGCACAGTTTCTATCTAGGTGCTTTAAGCTGAGAAGGGTTAGTGTAGGGGAAACCACAGTCGCGGCCCTTTGCCAGAGAGCTAATAGTAATGGGCTTTGGATAGAAGTCACATTGCAGTTTAGCAGTTATGAACTCTTTGCAAGATCTATCTGATGGATCCTAGAAAAGGAGTGTGGCACATTTGTTGTTGGTTCTATCTGCATGATCACTTGGAGTTTGATAGTCTCTCCTTCCAAGTATTTCAGAGGATCCTGTAAGATGATATAGGGAAAATGTTAAATGTCAAATATGTCAAGTTCATGTCCCCTGAAGTCGAAAAAAGAGTTATATGGAACAATGGAGGTTGAGGAGGAAAATTCATTAGAGAAAAGGAATGGGGCAATGAGGAAAAGGAATGCGGGACTGGGGAATAGGAATAGTTCCTGAGAGATAGGAGGGATCCCAAATGGGTTGCCCTGGATGGTGCTATTTCTAAGGTGCAGTGTTTTTTAGATGTAAAACGAATGAATACAAGGGGTTGGGAACAATGTCTTGAGTGACACTACTGCTGAGCCAATCTTTCTGTCTCCCAGGTGCAAAGCACTTCTATAGGTAAGAGTTCTCACTCTGCAGTGGTTCTATGCTAAAAACCCTTGGTTCTGAGAGTCTGGGGGAATGCTACAGAGACTGGGATGTGGGAGCACATGAAGAAGGAAAAGGAAGTAGAGAGGCTTTGGCAGAATCATGCCCCCAAAGCAGCAAATGGATAAGATCACAATTTCCTTCTCAGAGGGGCCAGAGAACCTACAGGAAAATGGTAAAAAAAAAAAAAAAAAAAAAAAAAAAATGGAGACTGAGGGAAACTTGAAGAGAGCTGGCTAACTTGTTACCACAGAATGAGGACTCCAGGGTGGGAGCAGCATGCAGAGGGTTGGGGACGATATCCGGGACTCACAGCTGCTAGCTATGGGCACCGGAGTATGGAAAGCAGAGAAGGCCATGAGGATAGAAGCGTAGGAGGACTATCAAGGATATAAACTAGTTTGTGAAGAAGATCACAGAACTGGCAGACCCAGGTTGCTGAAATGGAGGGGTGCCGGAGGGCAACAGAGCTGCCTTCATGGAGAAAGGCCAGGCTCAGCGGTAACTTGTTAGTATAGTTAAAAAAAAAAAAATACAGTTTTCAAATTCCTGTTAAAGTAGGTTACACACTAAGAATTAAAAAAACAAAAACAAAACCCAGTATTGATCATATTACAGAAAGTATTCATTTAGTGTAACACAGAACTTCCCTGTATGTATTACTCAACCAAGATCGCTCCTGAATAACTATTTTCTCACTCAAGAAAATGTCCCTTTGATTTTTTTCTATTTGGCCAGTCCTTTAAATGGAGGAGGAAGAAAAGGTTTAGGAAAATATCACAGAAGAGATAAGAAGCCTCAGAGTCTGGCAGAGGACTATGGGCTGAACCCACATGTTCTGAACTCATCTGAAGTGATGTGTTTCTTCTCATGGACAAGGCTTGCCTTTGGGGCGTCATGTCCAGAAAAGCCAACTGAAGAGACTCATATGGTTGATGTCTCTAGGAGAGTGCCCTGTGCAGAGATGCACCAACACAGTCACCATAGGAAATTGGCAAGGCCCTCAGTAACCTTTTAGACATGTGCTCACTGGCCACTGAGTCACAAAGGACGGTTTTAGTGTTAGTTTCTCAGTGCTGTGTGTTTAATTCATAGAAATCAATGACGACATGCCTAGAGGCCACAGCACAATGAGAAATACAGCCATGTGGTTTGTCTGTTTCTTTCCAACAGTGACTGTATGTATTATATTCTTCCTGGTGGCATTTGTGCTACTTAGCTAGGAATCAGCAGAGCAGGCAGCTCAGAACTTCTACGAATTATTATCTGTTCACCACAATCTCCATATTCAAAGAATCAGTAGCATGTTTTATTAAAATGTGCATTTTCTTTTTATGACTTCACTTTAAATTGGAAAACCTCATAACTTTAAAACCACAAACAACAGTCCTGATCAGGATCACAAGGCAACTGACAGGTACCTAGAGAGCTGATGTTGTGTATTTATTTTGCCATGTGGTCAAAAATGATTCTATTCCTTGCATCCTTTTACCTATCCATCTATCATTCAGGCTGACTAGTTGGCTAATGAGCAAATTTATAACACTTTTTTAGCATTAAAAATATATCAATGCGGAATAAAGATGGGCAGACCATAGACAAAGAATCAAAGGAGGAAGATTAAAAAATAACATGGCTCTACTCCATTTTACAGAATGCTTCTGTGGGTCAATGTGGGCAATTATTAAACCCAGAAAGTAGTGACAGATGGTATTTTAACACTCTGGCTCTCTGTCAACCATCTGCCCTAAAATTCTCTGTGCTGAGTTCATATTTCCTAGGTGTTCAGTTTTAGGATAGAAGGCATGTATTTCTTAATGGTTTTAGAGAGAACTGGTCAACCTTTCTCATACAGGCCAGACTGGGAATCAAAGCTCTCAAATGCATGACTTGCTTCTAGGTTTCTCCAAAATATCACTGAGGCTACATTGTAGTAACGCATAAAATATTACAGAAACAACAAATGACAAACAATAGCATGTGCATAAATATGGCAGAGTACAAAAAACCTCTGGAGTCTGCACCCCTGGGATGAAAGTTGGTTCTACCATTAACAGTTGCAAATGTACCATATAGGAAGGAGACTGTCTATTCTTAAAAATATAGCAAGTTCCTTACCAGTAAATGAATGAATGAGTATAGCTAATCAATCAACCATTCTATCTATCTTAAACTTTATCTTTTAATAGTCTAAAAAACCTTTGGTTTTATCATCAACTATGGCTAACATTTAAATCTATATTATTGAAAATTGACACTCCCCAAGCCAAAAGATAGGCTCTATCTTTACACTGAGGTCAATTCTAGATACTTGCATGTAATTACTAGTAATCATTTCTCTAACCAACTTTTAGCTGCACAAAATTATTCCTTGGATGACTGGATGACAACCTTAACTCCCCTGTGCTTGCGGATGGTAACTTCTTCCCATTTCTGACCATGAGCCAGTAACACAATGTTGGATGCAATCACCAGAGGCATTTTTCAAAATAAGAATTCCTGGCCCTAGCCCAGTAATGACTCTCAAAGGAGAGACCTGAGAGCTGCACTTCTAAAGGCTGCCCGTCCCTGGTGATCCTGTCATCGACCCAGGGGTTCTTGCCCTGAGGGCATATGTAGGTCAAGTGGAGGGCTTGCTAATTACAGACTGCTGTTGTCCAGCACACAGCTTCAAACAGTGGGTCTGCGGTGGGGGCCTAAAAACTTGCATTTCCAACAAGGACCCAAATGATACTAATGCTGCCATCCATGAACCACAATTTTCTTCTTCTTCTTCTTCTTTTTTTTTTTTTTTGGTACCAGGAATCAAACTCAGCACCTTGTGCTTGCCAGGTACAAGCTTGTACCTCTCAGCTATATCCCCAGCTCCAGGAACCACACTTTCAAAACCACTTATTTAGCCCATTTTGTAGACACTGCAGCTGAGCTGATTAGAATTCATGAGACTTCTTTTGGATCCATAATCCTGCTACTTTTTAGCTGCCTGATGTTAGACAAATACATTAAGCACTCCAATGCCGTTTCCTCTTACTGTAAAAATTAATAAAGGTTACACAAAGCTTTGGCACTGTAATTGGCACTGGAGGCTGCTGCTAAACATCTGTACACTATGATCTCCTTGCCATGATGCCATCTATGAGCTACAGGTGACTTTGCTGAGTTCTAGAGTGAGTTCCCAAAATTCACTGCACAAAACTTGGTTTGATAACAAACAAACAAACAAACAAACAAACAAAAGTAATGATTGATCATTTTTCCCAAGGAACTATAACAAAGCTACATTTTGAACATAGTATGTCCAGTGGGAATATGCTCAGCTTCCCAACTCACATTTTCCCATGGAAATAAAAATAGAAAAGAGATTAGATTTTGATTAGTTCTTTGTTTAATTCTGACAAAGCAGAACTCAGTACCCAGGTAGGAATCATTTTCTTGGCAGATTTTTGTTATACTATTTGGCTATTTTTGTGACTTGAAAAATCAAACAAATGAATCACAGCCCATCTTACTCAGGGTGACCCTGGAGGTCATCCACCTTACCCACCAGTATGCGGTGGTCCAGAATTTTCTTAGACAGTGAGAGTCACAAGTCCTTTCCAGATCACTGTTTAATCATTAGGTTGTCCCCTCTGAGCAATTAACCTTTATTTCTTTAACTTCTATTTTCTTTCACTGCATTTCTTCCCTCTATAGGGCCCATATATGGCCAAGTTTTCTCTTCCAGGAGGCAGCACTGAAAACATTCTGGAACAGCATTCACATCCCCCTTGCCTCTGCCTTGGAGCCTCGCCTCAACATTTTGTTTTCAACAATTCCCACCATCAAAATTTCCATGTACTTACAGTGCTCTTCCTGTGGATATACAGGGTATTTTTTTTTTCATTAAAAAAATACAATACGCTTGGGGTTGCCACATCTTATCACCAAGAAAAACAATGCAATGTAAATTTTACAACAGTGAGATTTTTCTTCCCAAAGTTTCTAAAGAGAGCGCAACGCTTCAGTCACATAAAACTGTACTGCAAAAATCAGTGTTTTCTGAGGAGGCTCAAAAGGGACACCAGAAACAGGTAGAACCAGACCATGCCCCGAAAGAGAAAATGCCACCTGCCACTTGAATTACGAAGGATTTCAAACAAAAAGTATATGTCTTACTTTCTACGAAACATTTCTGCAAATATGCAGCCAACACTCCAGAGGTCCACAGGGGTGGCGTAGCTGGACTGGAGCAAGACTTCAGGAGCGCGGTACCACAGTGTGACAACCTGCAAAGGCAAGCAGATCTGGGTGTTACTGAGAGTCAGCTGCCGGCTTCAACGATGCCCTATGCCAAGTGGTTTAAGGACAAGATCCACTTTGCAAAGAACTCCTATAAATCATCCGGTGACACTGTGATAAATGCAGTAAGTGCACAGGACTCATCACTCACAGGCCAGGAAATGACATTCTCCTTACACAAGACGGTAAAATAACACAAGCTTCAGAAAGCTAAATTCCAAAACCTTTTATCTTAAAGCTATTTTTTTTCTTACTGAACTTAAAAGATAATACATGGAAAATAGATGACGGCAACAACTCCACCTCAATTCCCAAGTGAATATTATTGGAAAAATCAAAGATTCCAGAGGCTGATGGATGTTGACCCTGGAATCTCCAGAACACCGAGGACGTCATAAGTATCCTTATCATGACACTTGGGGAATCAAAATAAATGCCCTCCCATGTTGTTAAAAAATGGGAAGAGCTTCAGAGAGAATGTATATCACAATATTCGTATTACATGAAAAAAATGTTCTCCAGAGGAAGAGATTCCCAAAACAGAAAAATCTATTTAATTCAGAAAGTATCAAATAGATGAAACAAACACAGTTGTGATTCCTTCTACCAACCTGAGGCCTGAAGAAGATATACTATGCTAAAGCTTCAGATTTATGCATGTAAAAGGGTTTAAGTCCTTTGTTTTTTGGGCAGAGGTAGAGAGGCAGATACTCTGGATATCTGAAATTGAAGGCTTTGTCTTTATATTGTCAGGCGAAAAACTGAATACATAAATCTACTACGTCAGTATTTCATATTATTCAGACCCATCTGTCTTTAATGATTTGCCTTCCTGTGTTATCAACATCTATCTAAATTTCCTGGAACTCAGATTTATGTATTTGGAGCATTAAGACTGGCATAGACACTCTAAAACTGCTCCCATTAATCTCCTCCTCTCTTTGATGCACATACTGTCCCTCCAAAGTTCATTCATTTTCCACTGAATCTAGGTTGGCCTTAATGACTTGCTTGACCTACAGAATGTGATAGAAATAATGTCTGAAGCTGTGAAAGTGTAGTCACAAGAATCCTTGTAATCTGGCCCTTTTCAAATGCCTGCTTTTGAGATGTTTCCTCTGGGGAGCCATTTGCCTTGTCATGAAAAGACCACAAAAACGTTCTGGTCTGCAGTCCTGGCTGAGCTGTCAGTTGAAAGCCATGTGACTGAGCCATCTTGGACTGTCAAGACCAATTGATCCTCCAGACGAATGCTACCCCAGTCAGCATCACACAGAGCAGAACTTCTCAGCTAAGTGTAGGCAACATTATAAACATCGATGACATTATAAACAATGGAATGGTACAACATTAACATCTTCCTCCTTTATCTCAATTAACATACTTTGCTTTGAATTTACCTAGGGCTCACATTTATTTAAGGGCTATCTGATTGATATCTAATGGAAGGATCATGATGATGTAATAGAAATTTTAAAAAAATTCCACAAACAGTATCAAAATGATAAGCTCCAATATATCTTCCCAGCCTCGTCTCTCACAATAATTTCATGCTCCCTATATGCTAGTCACACATTAGACTACACCACTGGTTTGCAACCTTGACTGTGATTAGAATCATCCTTTTTTTTTTTTTTTTTTTTTTTGGTACTGGGGACTGAACTCACGACCTCATGCTTGCCAGGTTGGTGCTGCGCCGCTGAGCTATATCCCTGGCCGTCATCCTTAGGTTTCCACAAAAACTTCAGAATCTGGACTTAATCTTGATCCCCTCTCATCCACACTGAGTTAGGTTTCTATGTGTAGGCCACTTGTTTTTCTTTTCCTTTGAAATCCTAGGTCTGAGTACCACTAGATGATATAATCATATATTATAGCTCCTGCTTCCAAGCTTTTGTTTACACTGTTTTCCCAGTCTGGGAAACTCTTGTCTTTCCTCGCCACATGTGAAAATCTTCCTTATCCTACAAGCCCAACTTAAAAGCTATCACCTGAATTCATATCTTGCAACAGTTCATATTATGGCTCATTCTGGAAGGTAAGATCTTACTTTTATCCATAATATGTCTGTGTCCAGAACAAGTTTGTATCCATACAATGAAATTTTAACAAATACCAAAGTAATAAGTTTAAGGCAATCATTCTTAGAAAAATTGGGAAAAATTCAATGACCAGTGATTCCCCAAAGAGAAGACAGCACTTTTTATTAAGGAAAGTCAATCCAATATTGGGCTCCAGGTGTAAGTTACATAATTTATCTTTGTATTATTAATATTTCTAGCTGGAGAAACACTTCTTTGTTCCTCTGTCACACTGTAAACAGAACTGCAGGTGCCAACTGCCCATAAAGTTTCACTTGAGTGAGTTACAGTCACGCACAGATACTATGAAGGCACATTTACCTTCTTACCTCAATTCAGAGTAAAATATAGCATTATGTGAAATTAAAAGTTTATTAAACACAGCATTATTTTAAATTGTTCTAAGGTGCTGTGATTTTTAATTGGCTACTCAGTCCAAAACAATTTTAGTACAGCTATCTTCATTTTCAATACTATAGTCTGTAATATCACTATGATCATAAAATAAATGTTTAAATAGTAAAAATGAGAACAATATTAGTATGTTTTAGAAGTTCCTTTCAATTTAATGTTTAGTTATCACTCAAAAAACACAAAATTTTATCAAATGCTTTAAAAAATATTGATGATAACCACATTTTTATAAATGACATATTAATTACATTAATAAGTTTCCTAATATTATACCATTCTTGCCTTCTTGAAATAAGCATTCCTAATCATTTCATCTTTTAAGACACTTGAGAACTCTATTTGCTAATATTTATTTAGGATATTAACTTTACTCATGTACAACTTATAAGGGAGACTTTAGTTTTGTTAATTTTTCATGTTTCAATAGCAGGGATATGCAAGCTTTTCACCTTTTCTATATTCATGACTTGTGTAACAACATACAAATAGTCCCTTGAAGGTAGAATTCACCTATAAAATCATCTGGTTCTGGATGTTTGTTAGTAGTGTGTCTTTGCCAAACTTTTGAATCTCTTCTTTGTGATTGTTTGTTCAGGTTTTAAGTCAATTTTGACTAATATAAAAGATTTTCCATGAAAAACCAATCTAGATTTAAAAATGCATGAGTTTAAATTTGAATGCAGTATTTAGTGTAATTATGTTTCCTCGATTATACTGATTTTCTCTTTTTAAAGTGTTTTTTTCTCTTTATATCTCATAGGCCTATCAGAAGTTTAGCTGTATTATTTGTTTTTAAAAATTCACATGGGGTTTTATTTCCACTTTGGGAAGGTTACTGCTCTATTTTATAATTTTTAAATTTCTATTTTTATCCTTTAAAATTTTCCTCTCCTAGTTTCTTTATTTTTCTTTTAGTTGAAAATTTCCTTTCAATTTTGGTTAGTAATAGAATACTTACTTTAAAATAAACTCTCAGTTTTGTTCATCTTTAAATAATATGTAATCTATCTTTAATTTTCTCTTTACTACTCAAATGATAACAATTGAAAAATCTAGTTCTAACTTAAGAACAAATTTTTTGTAATGATAAAATGTAAATTCCTTTAAAAAAAAAAAGAATTATAATCTTGTGCCTGTAAAAACTTCCAATGGAAAACTGCCTAAGGCATTTTAAGTCACAGATACCCAGAAATTTATCCCAAAGCTTTGAGAGTGAACAACACTGATAGAAATGTTCCCAGGTTTTAGTGCAAGAAGGATGGACAATTAACAATATATTAATTTTTATTAAAAACTCCTTCATAAATTCAATAATTCTAACTGTACTTAAAAACAAAGCATAATGGCAAATCTCAGTGTAAAAACATGTTATAGGAAACAATGAGTGTAATATATAAAGATCAACATTTAGAAATCTGTGACAAAGGTAGCTACCAATGGTAATAACACAGTTGTCTATTAAGCAAGGATAACAATAAGAACTATGGACAGAGTGTGGTAGTTGGAGCCAGCTGGAACCAAAGCAAATACAATGTTTATTACAACCATTACATGTATTAACAGCCTCTAGAGGTGCTGAATGGATTTGGCAACAGGAGGGGTAGCGGAAAGGGGGGAGGAGTTCAAGGATATTTATACAAGTGAATGTATCTGTTTAAACTGCTTTGATCTCTATTCACCATTTTTTGAAGCAGTTCAATAACAAAATAAAATAAAGTAGAGCTAAGGCCAACTCTGACTGAAAATACATGGCAGAGTAAACCGTGCTCACTTAATAATCTACTTAACAGTCTTTTATTCATGTACCCTTTCACCAAGATCCTGAAAAAACTTGATCTGATTCAGCAGCAAAGCAGGGTGTTAACACTGGGCTGGGGCCCTTCCTTTTGCCTCTCCAGATGCTCTCTGCCCTGGAGGTGGACCTCTATTTGCCATATGCCTCTAGTTTCTTATGGAGTTTGGCCAATAGGAAGCTTTGGCAGGAGTTCAGAGAGAGTGAGAGGAGAAGGTCAGTTCTTAACTCCTTGATTTCCTCCAGCAAGTTGTCTCTGGCAGGCTGTGCTGTCATCACACCACCATGTCTACCTTGGCTATTTCCATGTCCACCTGCTATTTCACTGTGTCCCTCTGGATTCCAGTAATTGTACCCTTTCATCCCTTTGAGCATGGCAATGCTAAAAGGCTGGCTGCCATGAAGAGTCAAGGTAGGGCACCATCCCGTCCCCTAAACTCATATTTTTGCCAAGTCCTGTTTTAAACCTTGAATTACCTTGTTATATTGAGCAAGTCATATAACATATTTCCTGTTGGGCACTCCCTGACACCCATAGTCTACAGAGGAAGACACTAGCACAGGCTGGGACTCCTCCAAGCCTCAGCTTTCTTTTGTGCCAAAGGAGGACATCAGAACTGGGTGACCTGTAAGATGTTCTCTCGTAACATTCTGAGAGTTCCTCAGTAACACAGTAATGGTAATTGAGACTTACAAATGT